CATTCCCATTAGGTCACCGAGGCATGGAGGTGGGCCGTGCGCAGTGAAGAGGGTGCAGTGTGCAATACCTCTATTTATGGGCAAGCTACTAAGAAGATTTTTAGGAGGATGCTTTAAGTCACACAGCAGTGACAGAGCTGTCAGGGTCTACGCCACCTGCTGGCAGCTTCCAATGGATTCTATGGGAAGATGCTTTTCAAGCAGCACAGTAGCAAGAGCTGATAAACTTCACAGTCACCAAGGTGGATTGCCGGTCTGAGGGCAGCCTTCCACAAGAACTGGAGCAAGGTCCTACAACTCCTTTATCAGGAGGAGTGGCTCTTGCCCCAAGCCTGCCATACAGCGAGCATCTTTACGATACTGAACGCTGCCGCTTGGGCCATGAATTCTTGTCCTGGTATAACTGTTTTTCCCTTAAATCATGCTCTGCACTGTGTCTGCTCTAGGCATTCCTCCGATTATAAGCTGCTTATTCCTTAATTCATGCTCTGTACTGTGTCTACTCTGGGCATTCCTTTGTTTATATACTAAGATATAGTTTTATATATATATATATATATGGAAATAACTGAGTGGTAAGATATTCTTTCGGCACTCATTCTATGAACTAATAATATGTGATTATATAGAGAGAGTTGCATAAAGGGAAATAACAGTAGTAACACTATAAACTGAGATATTCCCCAAGCCCTAATTCTATAAACTAATATATGATTGTATAAAGGAGTATATAAAAGGAAATCATTGAGTAGTAACACTATACACTGAGACATCTCCAGGTCTTAATTGTGCCAGGATTCTGCTTAGCTCTCCTTCCTCAGTACCTGTGTGGGGGTCACCCACATTGTACTCCTTTTAGTCCATCACACTTCTCTATGACTATCCACTCTTCATCTAACCTACTAAAAAAAAAAAGGAAAAACCCTGAGGTTTCGTTGTTTCCATGGGCCTTATTTCCTTTGGAACTCACTCCCATCATGTGAAACTGACATTAAATAACTAGGTATGCTGTTCTCTTGTTAGTCTGTCTTTTGCTGTAAGGGTCTCAGCAGTGAACCTAGGCTGGGTGAGGAAAAGTCATATTTCCTCCCCTACGTGTACAAATGTCTTCCACTTTAAAACTACACAAATTTTATTGAGGCTGATTTGAAGCAAGGAATTGAATCACTAATCCCCTTCGGATGAGCTGAACAGATGAGCTAATAAAGACCCAGTTCCTCCCAGAGAGAAATAGGGTTTTGTTTTGTTTTTTTTTGAGACCAAGTTTTACTCTTGTTGCCCAGGCTAAAGTGCAATGGTGTGATCTCGGCTCACCGCAACCTCCACCTCCCGAGTTCAAGTGATTCTCCTGCCTCAGCCTCCCAAGTAACTGGGATTACAGGCATGAACCACCATGCCCAGCTAATTTCATATTTTTAGTGGAGATGGGCTTTCTCCATGTTGATCAGGCTGGTATTGAACTCCTGACGTCAGGTGATCCTCCCACTTTGGCCTCTCAAAGTTCTGGGATTATAGGTGTGAGCCACCATGTGCAGCCGGAGAAACACTTCTGTGGCTCATTCCCTGAAGCTCCTTGAGGGTCAAACCTGCTGAAGATTGACGGGCCTTCCTGGGACCTCCCACCCCAGGAGATCGCTGCTGGTGAGAGGATTGCCGCAGTCTCCCTGGGAGGGTGCACAGCCACTGGAAAGTATCACTGCTGTGACTTCAATACAACTGGTTTTCATCACATCTCTGTTTGTTTTTTTAAATATGGAGTCTCACTCTATCACCCAGGCTATAGTGCAGTGGCACAATCACAGCTCACTGGAACCTCTGCCTCCTCGGTTCAAGTGATTCTTCTGCCTCAGCCTCCCGAGTAGTTGGGATTACAGGCGCACCACCTTGCCGGGCTAATTGTTGTATTTTTAGTAGAGATGGAGTTTCACCATGATGGCCGGGCTAGTCTCAAACTCCTGACCTCAGGTTCTCCACCCACCTTGGCCTCCCAAAGTGCTGGGATTACAGGCATGAGCCCTGGCACCTGGCCACATCTGCTCTTTGTGCACTGCTGCAGGTAACTACAAGAGCGAACATGCAAATGAGTAACAGACCCACACTCCTTGACTATGCCTGATATGCAAACTACCACATGGCAGGCACAGCCGATGAGTGTGTGTGATTACTTATTTAGTCCTTACAGGCCAAGGCTGCACCATCATCTTCATCTTCCATGTGAGAGGACTGAGATGCAGAGATGTTAACTAACCTGCTCAGGGTCACTCAGGTCAGATTTCTTTGACAGTCATACTTTTCCTATGTCAGGTTTTTCTCACTGTCATAGTTTTTGCAAAGGGCACATTCACCAGGAGCAGTACAAACACAGTGGTTCTGAGAATGCCTTCTGGAGCCAGGCTGCCTTCAGTTCAAATTCCTACTTTCAAATTCTCCTTCCCCGGCTAAGTGACCCTGAGCTCTGCACCTGCTTCTAACCTCCAACCTGCCCTTGGCTATTCCTGGGCATAGGCCAGGCTAAATATGGGAGAAATTTACTTCCAACTCTAAGTCTGAAACAAAGATGATAACGGCCCCTTCCTGAGACAAACTCCTTCCTTTCTTGGGCATCAGAGCTCCTTAGTAAAGCTAACAAATTAGCCACAAGATTGAAAATTATGGCTCAGGAGCCAAGCAGCCAGAAGACACACGATTCCTAAACTCCCCAGTTGTTCCTATAAATGACATCATTCGTATAAAACCTAAGATTGGCATTCAAGGTGTTTTTCAGACCCTGTCATATGATGAACTAGCTGGTGCCACCCAGATAGGTGAACTGGCTCCTCTGGTCCTGTGGCCCCCACCCAGGGACCGAGTCAGTGCAAGAAGACAAGGTCCAACTCCCTGTGATTTCACGAACCCCTACCCAACCAATCAGTTTTCCCCATTCCCTAGTCCTCTGCCAGCCAAACTATCCTTTAGAAAAACCCTAGTCTCTGAATTTGGGGAGAGACAGATTTGAGTAATAATAAACCTCTGTCCTGTTGCTTAGCTGGCTCTGCATGCATTCGATTCTTTCTCTATTGCAGGAAGCCTGCTGTTCTCAGCTCCATGGACTTTTCTGAGCAACCAGCAAGATAAACTCACCAGTTACATTAATAAAAGAAAAACACAAATGGCACATATACTTGAAAAGAAATGTAAGTGTGTGTATTTCTTTTGAAGAAATGCAAAAGGAGGAGGAATGATATGAGAGGCAGTACACTGTCCTAAATCTTTCACGATTCTCCTGCCTCCCCCACATCCTTCTTCTCCCAACAACTGCTCCCCAGAAACCTTCAACTTAAGCATGATTCCTGCCAGAACTGGGTTTGTCCTCCCCTTTACATTTTCCTCTCACCTGCCCCAAACCCCTTCCATATCTGATCTGTTCTTTCATTTCCAGGTCATTGACTTTTTCCATTTAAAAATATAAAAGATACAGAAAGAAGATAACCAGTCATCCATATTTCCACCACCTGGAATTAAGTACTATTTGCACATGTACATATTTTTCTTCCAAACCATTTTGAAGTTCCTTTTTTTTTTTTTTTTTTTTTTTTTTTTTTTTT